ACACACACACACACACACACACACACACACACACACACACACACACACACACACACACACACACAAACCACTGTGCACAAAAAACAAAAAGAAGACAAAAAACTGGCACACTAACAAGAGAGAGTAAATGTGTAAAGGCGTTTAGGCACCAAGGCATAAATGAAAATAATATATTTTTTATTTTCATAATTGCTGCTTTTAGCACTGTTCACTCCCCAACACAGCATATATTTGTGATAATTTGAGACTGTGAGCACTGCCTGGCTATTTCACTGAATTATTTTTATTTTACACTCTGTTGTGGATCGTTCAGTCACCTATTAACCCTTTTCAACACTTTTTCTTTCTGTGCGTCTCATTTCTGTCTGCAACTTTTATTCCGTATCATCTTTCCCCATACCTTGCTGCCATCTCCTTACTTCGTTTCCTCCTCACTCCTCTGACAGCTCCTGTCTTTCTCTCTAATGTTTGTCTCCCTGGGTCTCCACTGCTGTCATGGCAGGAGGGAGGTAACGGCACTGGATCTGACAGCAGTACCCAGAAATGGCAGACAATGCGGTCGCAGGGTCCATAACAACCAGCCCTCATCGGACTCTTGCTCCACCACTCTGACCACAGGTGAACAGAAAATCGAGTTATATTTAAAATGTAGAGAAAAAAATACGTGTAAACATATCTGCTTATATGTTACCCCAGGGGCGTATATATATATATATGAGGAAACAATCCTGAATATTTGAGTTGTGCTAGAGAAGAACACAACTAGAGCAGATTCGTTCAGTGTAATTATGCATCCTGTCTTACAATCACGTTTTTTTTTCCACATTCATGACTCCACCCAAAGTTTAGCAACCCTCAGGGGATTGTGCTCTGACTTGTTAGCAGCTGTTGCCCGTCATTGCTGTGGACTGGTGATCCCATGATGCACAGTCTGTAGAGGTTACAAGTTTCTTAAGTTTTGACAGCACGCTCTGCACTTTGTTGCTTCATTAGCACATTGCATGAATACAATTCCTTTGAGAGTGTGTAATCGCACTCGAGTGTGGGGAGTCGAGCAGCAATTATCCCTGCTATTTAAGTTCTTCTATCTTGGAATTCTGATGTGCGCCACTGATTATTGTACGTGTTCAGTGAAACGATTAACCCATTTAACTACCGCTGTTAGACAATGTGCAATAGCTTGCTGCTTTTGAGGTGTTATCAAATCATCCCCCCCACCCCACCCCTTCTCTGTGTGGTATCTGTCTGTTTGGGTAATTCATCATCTATTTGTGTGCTCGTCTCTTTCTCAGGAGTACCAAGGTGCCAGTGTGTTGGGTCAATTTGTCACCAGATTTATGCTAAGAGAGACTTCCAGTCAGCTGTTGTCTCTGCAGAGGTCCCTTCAGTACGCCATGGAGGCTGTGGAGGAGCAGAGCAGCCCTGCTCCGTGAGTTTCATCATATTTTGGAGTCCTTATTTCCCTCTGATTGATGAGTGACTCGTTCAGGGTATGCCCCAAACAATAAAAAAAGTGCTGCAGCTCTGAACAAAATAAGAATGGCTGTACTCAAAACAGTGGCCACCTACAGAGAAGGAAGAGACGACATCAGGGTTTGGTACTGAATACAGATCTGCTTCCAGTCTCACTGTTTTTATTCACTACTTTACTTCTTAGCAACACCTTTATGCTCTAAAATATATATATTTTTAAATGCCTGTGAGCTTATCTCTGATCTAAAGTAGGAAAATTTGATATAATTGGGCCTGCCTTTGTTTGTAAGGCATCACTGTCAGCGGAAAGCTTGAATCTCCTCTATCCTCACCTTTCATTGAGTTACTTCATTATAGGGAAGTTGCTTATCTATACTTTCTGAATTGTAGGTACAGTATGTGTAAAAGGGAAAAAAAAGTCTGATCTGTGTTAGAAATGTGCAAAAGCTGAAATCTGCAGAATATCAGCTAACTTGAGTGGTTCCTAATATTAGCTACGGAAATCATACTTTACTGAGATCTTTTTTTTTTCTTTTCCTGATTAGCTCTTGATAAGGTTACAAATAATTTATAACATTCTCTTTTTCTTTAAGGTTATATATATTCAAAACAGGTATAACATTCTTTAAAATTACTTTTCTTTTTTTAAAATGATTTCTACCAAGTCAGATTTTATCCTCATTTTACTGATTTATTAAGAAGTTACAACTGAGGTTTTCTGTTGTATCATAAACACCTGAGCTCTGCTCTCTAGGTGCCACAGTGTGCTTTGTCAACAACAGTGTTGTATAAAGTACCACAAAATGATACTTGAGTAAAAGTACAAGTATCTTACCCAAAAATTACTTTGGTAAAAGTTAAAGTCTCTTTTAGGAATATTACTTGAGTGAAAGTCTTAAAGTATCTGAAATTTTTTTGTACTTAAGTATTAAAAGTAAAAGTATTGATTTAAAATGAGCAGTTAGTTTTTCTGTAAGGACATTTATTTGGAGGTGACCTCCCCAAAAAATGCAGAAATGACTGTTGTATTAAAATAATTAATTTATGTTAAAGTTAAGATGCACTAGTTTAGCTGTTTCAGTTTATCAAAGCTGCCCAAACCTTTTCTCCAAAATAAAAATCTATCTCAGGGCTGCAGCCAAATGCAATAATATAATCCATGAAATACAAATACTTCTTAAGTTCAGTCCTTTTATTTTATTGATTATGTCCTGCTGGAGTGTGACATAATACAGTATCAGAATTTTATACAGTATATTTATACTTCTCATTCAACCACAATTAAATTCACTCTATCTAGGAGGCACAATTTATATGGACAGTATTTATTTTTTACAGTAACAAGGAGGAATGAAAACAAGCAAAATTGAAATAAAAGTAATGACTTTCTACTTCTTGCCTTTTTAAAAAAATGTAAGGAGTAGAAAGTACAGATAATCGTGTGAAAATGTAAGAAGTAGAAGTTAAAAGTAGGCTGAAAAATAATTACTCAAGTAAAGTACAGATACACAAAAAATTCTACTTAAGTACAGTAAAGAAGTATTTGTACTTAGTTACTTTGCAACTCTGGTCAACAAGTGCTGATTAGGATCACTGGCATGGATGTTAGTTGGACAAAGTGTAAATTTCAGGAGTAACCAAACGTAAGCAGCAACTTTTTAGCCACAGTTTTCTTCACTGTGACAGATTTATGACTGTTTCTGTGGCCTTTGGACTCCTGGCTGCTCACAGCATGAAGACCTCTTGGCAATACACTCCTCTCTGTGCTGTCAGCAGGATGCTCCTCACACACACACACACACACACACACACACACACACACACACACACACACACACACACACACACA